AACACATGCCTTTCCTAAAAGGGCAAATCGTATAAATTTGCAAGGTTGTGTGAGGGCCAGAATGATGTTCCTGGCTCCTTCGTGCATTTCTTTCCTGGTCCACTGAGTAGATGGTTTACAAGATAGGACCCACATGCAGGAATTTTCTGTGAGAACTAAATATTCATTCTGGTAAAGTCTGAGTTACATATTATTTTCATTTTCACAGCCATCTCTGATCAGTTGCAGAGAGACACAGAAAAGCAAAGAACTAATTTCTATAATTTCGCCTTAAATTCAGGAATTATAAAAATTTAATGGAAGAAGGAGCAATGATCAGAACTGCAGTGTAGAGGGTTTGTTGCTTCTGTTTTTGGTTCTGATCTTTTCCCTAACTCTAAAGTCAATTATCTCAGACAAGCAAGAATTAAGATCCTAGGATTTTAGAGGACACATTTTTGATATTTTCTGTAGAAGAAGAAGAAACATCAGGAAAAATTAAATGATTATTTCACAATCACATAATTGTTTTGTGATACATGATGGCACTGCCTGTTTCTTCATGAAAATACCCTACGAAGAAAACAGAATTCTGTTGAAGTTGTTACAACTTGCTTGGAACTACTAGAGCTAAGATTGAGTCATCAAAGAATTGTAAACAGATGTAAGATGAGGCCAACTTTTTAAAGCTCCATTTGCATGACATTTGTTAGATTTCACTACAGACTGGGTATCATTTATGCAAAATACTCAGGACCAGAAGTGTTTCATAATTTTTTATCATTTATAAATTTTAGAATATTGCATATACATAATGAAGTATCTCAAAGATAGATCTGAACTCAAATGTAAAATTCATTTGTTTTATATGTACTTTATACATGTGGCCAAGCAGACTTTTAAAATATTTTAAATAATTTTATTCAATAAACAAAGTTAGTTGGTGTGGAATTTTCCACTTGTTGCATCAGTTGAATCCTCAAAAAATTTCAGGTTTTGTTGTATTTCAGACTTCAGATTTTCAGATTAAGAATATTCAACAACCTACGTAAATTTTAAGATACTGTATTAGTATGGAAAATGCTCTTTTTTTCATTTTCTAGAATTCTGTACAAGCTGTAAGTATACTTACAATTCTGTAAGTATAAGCTTTCAGTTTTGCCTGAAAAAAAGCACTCTTAAATAATTTTGTGGCTATATTTTGTTTACTTTTGGTCATGGATATATATATGTGATATACCAAGTAATACATATATATATATATATATATGTGTGTGTGTGTGTGTGTGTGTGTGTGTGTGTGTGTGTGTGTGTGTGCTATACTAAGGTATTTTAGCCAAATTATGGAAAAGAGGTCCAGGTGTTGTCTTAAATCTTTTGGAGTTGTTTATGTTTTGTTTTGTTTTCTAAAATGAATAACAAAAACAGAAAAATTCTCTTTAATAAGAGTATGTGTTACTCTTACACTTAAAAAATATAACACTTACAAAAATAAGTCCATATTGTCTTAACAGAGGAAACCTTCACTGCTCAGCATTTTATTTTGCAGATCTCTATAAATTCAAAAGTACACAATAAATTCTGCAGTCGCTTCACCTAAGATAAAGTCATTAATTTAGTAATCCTGACTTAGTAACAAAATACCAAAAGTGCTAATAATGGTATATTTTGATACTGACATAAAAATAAGACCATGTTCACAAATGCTGGGGTATGCATAAAGCACTGAGTTTTAAGAAGTAATTTCTAGAGTGGGTAAGGTTAAGTTTGGAATTAGATAGTTTTTATTTTCATCTTGCCATTTTTTAGGATCACATGTAGATCGAAATGTAGATGACAAAACTACAGATATTAAGTGGCATCCAGCTTGTGAGTCACCTATAGAAAGCAAAAAATAAATGAAAACTGAAGTTAATGGCTCCATAAAATGTAAATTTCACAAGCACCAGCAATAGCATGCAGCTCACCTGCACTGGAAAAACAAAGAGACTGTTAGCAAATGACCCTGTGGCCTCCATCAGTTCTAATTCAGCATCTAATTCAGGCTTAGCCACATCCCATCCTCAAGTGCCATGGTTGATAGGGTGACACTGGCGAGCTGGACCAACTGCTATTTGGGCCTGGGCAAGATGGAAATTTAGAGCAAAGACTTAGTGATGCTGCTGGCCTAGAGTGATCATGGCTTTGGAAAAGATGCAGAAAACAAAGTGGAGGTGTAAACAGTGAACTTCAGGATGTGACCTCTGTCTGCCAAGTGGGTTACCTATGAGTTAGTTACAGCACCCTCTCCCTACAGATGCCTAGGGCATGTCTCTTGACTGTGGTGTCAGTCCTATGATGGTTCAGTGCTTGGCTGCATGACCCTCTCCTTTGTTTAATTTCTTCTTTTACACAGTAAGGGTCAATCAGTGCACTTACCTCATCAGTCTTAATCAGCTTATAGATCTAAAACACTCTGACCACACAATGTTATGGAGGCAACAGCACATAGTATTATTAGTAGCAGAATGCAACTACCCTGATTGGCATTTTTCCAAAATGTACATCAAATACCTATTCCAAGTTGAAGTGGAAAAACTTCTTCTACCGCCATTGATCACTGATACTGGCACATCACTGGCAATTCCAGCAAGATACCATATGGCAGGATATGTACGCTGATATTTAACCTTTTTTGCATTAAAAATCTTTAGCTACAAATAAACTTCCTTTGGTATTTATAGCCTTCTTTCCCCCAAAATTGCACGTACTTTGATAAATGGAGTAATCGTTTCTAGTCGCTGTGGCAGGAAAATGTATTTTGAGTGTCTTCTGCTGCTGTAACTTAATAATTCATTTCAGCACATCTGTTCGTAAATCACAGAAGGTTTGTTTGGGAAATCAAGTTTTGGGGAGATATGTTTTCTTTTTGTCAATATAAATAAGCAGTATTTCAGGACTAGTGTCTACTATGCAATATAATTTCATAGGCTCAAGATTGTCCACATTGTCTGATGATGGAATCTTTAATTTTCAAGCACAAAGAATCATAAGCATGTACAGTTAGTATAATAAATACTCTCATGATATTAAGTGATAGTCTGCATAGTTTCTTTGCTAGGAAGTATCGCATCTAACTAAAAGCACATTTCTAGGAATTGTGCAAAACTAGAAGCCTTAAAGTTTTGAATGAATTAAAGAATAAGTAAAATAGAGTGATATATATATATATATATATATATATGTTTGTATATATATATACATTGACTGCTGAAAATGAGAAAGTGTCAGGGACTATATATTAAAAGTTTTGATAGCCACCTGATAGTTGAAACAGGGGCTAAACAAGTTCACTGGAAGAAGGATAGTCTCTTTAATAAATGGTGTTGGAAAAATTGGCTCTCTACATGCTGAAGGCTGAAACTAGATCCATGGCTAACACCATGCACAAAAATAAAGTCTAAATGGATCAAAGACCTAAATATTAAAACAGAAACACTGAATATACTGGAAGACAAGGTAGGCAGAAGTCTTAGAGACACAGGGGTAGGCAGTATATTCATGAACAAAACGCAAACTGCACGAGAAACACTTCAAACAATCAACAACTGGAATCTCATATTATTGAAAAGTTTCTGCACTTCAAAAAAAATCACCAACAGAGTGAAAAGAATACCCACAGGATGAAAAAGAATTTTAGCCAGCAACCCCTCATACAAAGGCCTTATATCCAGAACATATAAAGAATTGAAAAACATCAAGCCCCCCAAATTCAAAGACCTTCTCCAAAAATGGGCATCTGAGATGAGCACACAGTTCTCAGATGAAGATATACAAATGCAAATAAATACATGAAGAAATGTTCACCATCACTGGTCATTCGAGAAATGCAAATTAAAACAGCATTGAGATTTCATCTCACTTCCAAAAGAATGGCAGCCATCAAGAAATCAACTGATAACAAATGTTGGTGAGGCTGCGGGGGGAAAAGGAACACTCATCCACTGTTGGTGGGTATGTAGACTGGTGCAGCCACTATGGAAATCAGTATAGAGAATTCCTAAAAGACTGATTGAAAGTTCCATTCAACCCAGCTATTCCCCTACTCGGTATTTTCCCAGAAAACCTGAAAAGGTCATATCACAGTGATATACGTGCACCCATGTTCATAGTAGCACAATTTGTAATAGCTAAATCTTGAAAACATCCCAAGATGCCCATCAACCACAGAGTGGCTGAAAAATATGTGGTATTTTTATAAATACCACATTGTGTTTCTCATGTGAAAAGTAATAAGAAATGTAGGAGTAATAAAACCCAAAATTTGTAATTGCTATTGTAAAAAAGAGTGGAAAAGAAAGTGCTCTAATGATATAACTGCATGTATGTTTAAGTATGTAGGACTGATAACCATATTACTAAGTTTTTGTTGGATAGCTGAACAGAACTGTTTGCAGTCTTGCTGTTTGAATGTCCACTTTGTATGCTTTACTATTGTAACTTGAACAACTATTTCTAAGAGGACAGTATATAATTATCAACTAGTGATTTTTTACTGCTTATTTTTTGAAATTATGTAATATTTCTACCCTTTGTTTTTTTCGTTAAATAAAGATTTTTTTAATTATAGTATTTTTTACTTTTTTAAAAGTGCTTGTGAGACATAAATGTGTGTAAGACATTAAACCTTGCAGTTCTCTGGGAGCAGATGTGATAAGGGGACCAACCAGGCTGGGGATTTAGTTCAGTGGCTCACATGCTTGCCGGTTAAGCATGAGGTTCTAAATTTGATTCCCGGTACAAAAAAAAGGCTAAGACTGTCCCCTGCCAGGAGTAGACAGTGCTATGGTGGAGATATAAGCACATGGCTTTCAGGGCTTAAGAAGGGAACATTTGTTAATTCCAACTATGGTGATAGAAAGAAGTCATTTAATGTGCTTCTAAATTTATCTCAGAAGTTAATCTAGAATAGTTGGCAAGTATATTTTTCTGGTGATAATATCTCATCTTGATGCTCATTATTTTTCCATTTTCACTTTTAGAGACGTCCAAGCAGATGGCCTGCAATGAAGTTTCGAAGAGGTTCTGGACACCCTGCCTATGCTGAAGTTGAGCCAGTTGGAGAAAAAGAAGGTTTTATTGTATCAGAGCAGTGCTAAAATTTCTAGGACAGAATAGCACCAGTACTGGCTTACAGGTGTTAAGACTAAAATTTTACCTATATCTTTAAGACACACACACACACACACACACACACACACGAGCCCCAAGCTGCTGTAGCCTGAAGAAGACAAGATTTCTGGACAAGCCCAGTTCTGGAAGGGTAAAAGAAAAACTAAAACTTATGCAAGATGCCATTTACACTGAACATAGAATTCCCTAGCAGAATGGCATCTGTAGTTCACTCGGAACATTTCCTGTGGACTTACCAGAAGTGTGACAAGATTGCAGTGCTTTTTGGCTTAGGTGCAGGGTTGCAAAGGGATTGAGGAAAAATAGAATAATAATAAAGCTGTAGTTCACAAGGGATCTATAACTTTGGTTCAAATGTTCTTATCTGATGTCTCAAAGATATCTGTGTTCCCAAGCTGGAATTCTTTTCCTTGAAAGAACAGTGATGAATGTTTCCTGTGTGCTGAGAACTATAGCTCATGTGGAGGCAAATCAAACACAAATGAGAAATTTTCTATCTTTTCCAAACAAACGTGTGGCAAAAAGATTTTGTTTTTCTGCTTTCGGTCCATCTATTCTGCCAAATTCATTACTTTATGGGCTGAACCCTTCCTCTGTACATGAAGTTCAAACTATGCCTGCCTCTTCCTTGGCAATGAATGCCTTTTCTATGAGCTGTGACATTTCCTCACTTTTAGCTAAGAATTGGGAAGGGGGGAGTATTAAATGAGGCTTTCTGTTCCCCTGCCTCAGAAAAAAGCCTGTACATGGTTTTAGGAGGCATTGCTTCCATTTCCCAAGTGGGACGTCCGTGAAGTCACAGTTGCTCTTGGCTGATGGAAACAAGCAGAACTAATACAAAGAATTTCTTGATCATTTTTTGAGACAAAATGGTAAGGGATTTTCATACAGGGTTTCTGAATTTTTTGCCATTTCAGTATGAAAAGCCCATTTCATTGATGGTTCCTAAGAAGCCATTCGAGTCAATCTGTCCCTGGTGATAAAACAATGGAAGAACCCTGCGGAATCATACAGTAATTTTCTTTAAAGCACATAGTAGTTACATAAATCTCTATATATATAAATATATTTTTGTTTATAACTAACACAAGGCAGGCTCTTGTGACTCTAAGAGTGCATTTTGTCATCAACACAAAACAAATGCAAGATGCATCGCTGCGTTACTTCCAGAGTTGTAAAATAATCTTTAATATTAGAATATTTTTATGTCACTTGGCAAAAGTGGTTAAATTCATTGCAGTCCCATCATTTTCCTACTTATCTGACCCACTCCTTCATTGATATCAACCCTTCCCTCACTGCCTAAATGAAGTGGGCACAAAAAACTCCCTAGATGGAGCTGCCATTCATCCCATAATCACAACCTAGATTTTGAAAATTCCCCATGAGTAAAGAAAGGAAAGGCATTGTTTGAGGAGGAAAGTAGTTAACATGTGTCCTGAGTTCCTAAAGTTTAAATTCTGGTACCATGTGTACAATTTCATCAACATCTTCACCCATGGAACTTCTCTGTTCCGCAGAACATGGCACACCATGTTGGTTCTTGTAAGATACAGTGTTCAACATTTGCAGATTCAGGTCTCAAAACACAGTCATGTTCCCAAAATAGTATTTCACTAACAGCTTGGCATCTGTGCACAATGTCTGCATTGGACGGCATCAATCCGCTAACAAAAGCATCACACTTGTTCGTTACGGTGGCCTGACATAAACAATGCTGTTTTCTGTCGACATATATTTTGCTTTACATTTTTAAGTATCTGATGAGAATGATAATTTTTCTAAACTGCTTAGTTAATAATGCCAAAAAGAAAATGGAAAAGCAAAGTGATTTAAGGATGTAATGACAATCTCTCTGCCATAGCTATGTTCAGTTTATATGAAACATCCCAACTTATTCTTTGGAGTAGGTTTGGTCAGATAGCAATAGCCAATGACTTGCCAATGTAACTGGTGCAACTGGTATTGTAAACATACTTAAGGAACATATAGACAACTTCCTCTTAGGATAAGATGATGCTTATTTTGTGAGCTTTTGTGGTAGGTGTGGCTTCCAACAGCAGTGGATTGACATTTATATAAATATCTTGCCTCAGTGTCTCACTCACTCCTTGCGTATTTCAAATATTAACATTATCCTCACACTTTTCAGAGCTTATCTTTCATGTTAAATTCAAAAGAACTGATAATTCTGTACAGCGAATAAAATTCTGAATTGTTGAATGAACCAAAGCATCAATTAACAGGGAAAAATTCAAAGTACAAAGGCTCATAATGTATGGAAACTTCCTAGGAGAACTAAAAGTTAAAGACAATGAGAAGTCTCTGTTGCCTATGAGTCCTCTAAGTAACAAGGAGAAATGTTGGCTGAATCCCTCCTCTTACAAGACTGTCATTCTATTTTTCACTGAATTTGTTATTCTAGTTTTTTCTTGGTGCTCATTTCTAGAAAAGAAGGACAAACACAGTTTCTGGAAATTTCATAGTGGATAACACAGTTTTGAAACATGTATATGTATATGGTATGTATATGTACGTATATAGTATTAGAGAGAATTATGTGCACATCACTCAATAGGCCACGAACATAGAGAGAGAATAATAACAATTTAAACATAAGAACAACAAAGGAACATAACAGGCTTACCTGGAGAAGTCAGGTAAGTGGTGCTACAGAGGAATTTAGTTGTTTCATCCTAATTTGTAAAAATAATCAGTGATTAGATAAAGTTATTCAAAATCAAGAAAAATATCAGAAGCCAACAAGATGACATTTGTCTTAATGTTGGTTTGTTATGAAGGGTTTGGACCTTCGGATATACTAACAAATAGAAAAATAAATAGTAAAGCATCACTGACCACAATTATTAATTTTATCTAGATCTGTGTTATCCAATATTGTACCTATTAGCCACATATAGCTAGTAATATTGAAATTAAATACAATTTGCAGTTTAGTTTTTCAGCCATACCAGCCACATTTCAAATAAGCAATAGTCTCAAATGGCTGATGATTACTAAGTTGGTTGAACGACACAAAACCCTTCTATCACGGCAGGGAATTCATTTGGAATGTATTATAGAAATGTTCCCTTTAGTTCTCTGTCCTTGACAAAGTAAGAGGCTGTAAGAGAAAGAATTCTGTAGCTCACGTATGTGCCCAAGCATTTATTTATCTTAGAGAGACCATATAGTGTATTGAAAAGAATATACACTGATACAGTTTTGTGTCTTCACTATGTTATTTTGCCAAAACCACTTCAACATCCCCAAGTCTCAGCTTGAATTTTGGAAAATAAACATACTTTTGTCTTGTTTTCCTTGCAAGAATGCTGTACAGATTGACTAAGTGCATAGATGTACAGTATTTGAAACCTTATATCAATATAATGCATATAAGCCTTCTTTTGGTCCAGTGACAGTGCAAATTTGCAATAAAAGAAGACTAGTCCGTAAATCAAAAAAGCAAAGATAACTCAGTATATTTCTTCAGAAAGTGTCAAAGGAAAATCATTCAAATAAACACGGGAGAATTAATTCCTTTTTGCCCATCTAAATATGTCCACTAATATTACAAAAGAAATATAATGTTTCTGGTATCTGTTGCCCAAAAAACAAAAAAATTTTCTAGTATTCATGCCTTGGTTTAAGACATTTTAATTCTATAATAAAAAATTCATATCTAAGGCTACTTGAAAAACAGATCCTGTGGTTATGTTTCCTTCCTCCTGTGAAAAATTCTTTTACTTTACATTTCCTCAGAAACTTTCTTCTGGAAAAACTTGACATTAATTCCATTAATGTCCAAATTAATGGCCCATTAATTCCAAAAGATTTCTCCTGCTTTTTTACTTTCCTATTCTAACACTCAACATTATCATCAGCATCTGTATGCCAGGCTCATGAGAAGTCATTTCATGTAATCTATGAATTCTAGGGATAAGACAACCAAGGCTTAAAGAGTTACAAAAATTCTCCATTGTTGGAATGAGGTTTTGAACTTAATGCTCATCAGTCATTTTTATTCCAACTTCTGTTTGGGTACATCCTTTTATCAGCAATTAAGACCAATTAACAGAGTCCATCTCCAAACCAACTCTGTTTGCTCTGTGGATTATCTGCTCTATCCTGTCGCAGGAAACTCTGCCATGCTGCTGTCGTGAGAATGCTGCTATCCCTGTAACCACCAGCAAATTTAAGGTCTAGCTGCTGCAAGATCTTTATTTGATTTTGCATGTTTCCTCTCCCACCTCCCTATCTGTGGCCATGCAAGTTTGTACCACTATTTATCCTTGCCACTTATAATTTGCCTTTGTTTTGTGTCTTCCTAAATATACTAGAAAGCTAGCATGTTCATTCAATTACAATTTTGATTAGTTTTTTAAACATTGGGACATTTGTGCCCTAAGAAGTACTTGAGAGCAGTTTTTGGGAAATCAGTAGTGTTACAAAGATACACTCACATTACCGTATGTTTATAAAGCACTTTACATTTTACAGAGCACTTTGATCCATCCATTCTGTTCGTTCAGTGACTACTTTACTCAATTATTTATTGACCACCCACTAGAACCAAGTTACTGTGCTGCATCTTATATGCCGTGACAACTACAAATAGAGTTCAGATTTGTAAACTGATCATTACAACACAATGAAATTGTCAAACACTACTTTGCAAGTAGGCAGGACTGTATTTCCCTAAATTTCCTACTTTGAAAACTCTAAAGTATTTGTCCTGAACAATGTTGATGAAATATAATATACCATAGCACATGCGTGCTATTTGTTGTATTTTAAATGATCTGTTGATTTCATGTATAAGAAAAAAACTTATTCAAAGGTATCCCTGGTGCAGAAAACTCACTGGCAAGTTTTTCTAAGCAGATGCAATAGTTGAAATTTTCCTCTCTTGCATGCCTTTCTTCCATCGATTCTGAATTGTGAGCCTCATTATTTTCAGGCCCTCAGAAGCACTGTATCAAAGGAGCATTTGCACTTTTAAGTGGGTATGATTCTTACATCATTTATTAGACCATCTCAGGTTTTCTCAAACTCAGCACTATTGACATTTTAGCCCTGATAATTCTTTGTTTGATGTGGAGGAAGTGGTTCTCTGTATTATACTATGTTTGGTAGCTTTTATGGCTTTCCCTGACTACACAGTAGAATACACATCCTGTCTTGTTATGACAACCGAAGATGTCTTCAGGCACTGCCAGTGTTCCCTTGAATGGAAAGGATGAGAGAAGATTGACCAGACCCACCCCTGGTTAAAACCACTATGCCAAAAAGGGCCAAAATAATTTTTCATTCTGTTGTCATTTGATCATCATTGCAGGGACCTGACAATAAAGTCACACATCTTCAGCATCTCACGGATTTGCTTTGGGAAGTTACTTCTGTCACTGCACACATTATAAAAATTTTGTTTCTTAGTCTTTGTCTCAGTGTATATAGAAGTTGAAGCTGAGTACACCTAATTTTGTCTCATTGAATACTGTATTTCTATTTTTAATTCTGGAAATGTTTCTTAGTCACATAATCAGAATATTCTCTTTTATTATCCATTCAGTGCTAGGCATATAGCAGTAGTAGTAAGGTTGATTTGTTTCATTATTTTTCTATGGGAAAAAAAGAAAAACCTTGACTATCCAAAATCATTGAAAATTGTAATGCAGAGTTGGAATACTTTTAAACTACCAAGCCAAAGTTTATATTCATTTGATGTGCCTTATGTCAGCTTTCCTGTAGTACCGGCGATTTCCTGTGGACAACTCTGAATCCAATTAGTTAGTACTTGTCTCTGTTTTTTGCACTGACTGAAAATATTGATGAAGTTAAACAAAGACAGTCCCTTAAAAATATCCCCAAATCAACAGCAAACTGGATTAACAGGCTTCCGTATTCCTTTACTGAGACCAACTCAGACTTCAAAAGCATTCATAATTACTTACTACAAATTTACTTATATGGATACAAAATGAAAACATTCACTATAAAGTCTATGACTATAGATTATTAAAAAGTGCACCCAGGGAAAATTCTTGTAAGAAAACAGAAAATTTCAATTTAGCAGACCCTCAAATGTTGGTATAATTTTCTACTCTATCAACCTACTTGGTATCATTTCTTAAAATTTTAAGTAAGCTGATTCTTTAGATTCAACTTTAGAATGGATCTGTCTTAATTATTGCCTGGCATAAGTTTTATACCATCCAGTGCTCATCGCTCTTAAAATGGTTGTTACAGAGAAGCAAAAATGGTGACTCAAAAAGCACATAATTTCTTGAGTTTGATTTTGCATTGTAACTTGATAGAATACATTATCATTGACTTCTTGTTAACATATTCTTATGAATAACCAAAGAATGCCCAGAAAAGTTAGTTAGTTTTCCACAGTGAAAGATTCTATGTTAGTTTATACAGCCAGGATAAAAGGCTGGAAAAAAAATAAATGCAAACCACAAACTTGGAACTCAACTTTATCTGATTTATAATTTTACTAACATTTAAAAATTACTTGTTTTATCCCCTGGTAAAGTAAAATTTTAAAAAACTTGTCAGATAGTGATATTATATTCATTTTATTCTAGTTGAAAAATTTCAGTGACTTTCATCTGTCTCTCTGATATTTGGATTTTTAACAGCAATCTCTTTTCCATGGCATTAAAAATACATATATTCATGATTTTACTGAAATCTCATAACTGATCACACAGCTGTAAACTTTTTGTATCTATCAAATAAATACATAACATGATCAAATTTTACAAGTTTGCTGTATTGCAGGTGATACGAGCATAGTGGTGGAGAAACAAAGATGACTTGTTAAAAAAAAAAAAAAAAAAAAAGATAAAGTGCTAAATATATGATCCGGCAGAGTTTTTAACATCTTCAGAATATTCGCTAAGGATCAGTTCACGTTCAGGACACTGGACACGCAGATATGGAGCACATATTTGTAAGTGATGCTAAAAGACATGTGACATGCAGTACAGAATGTGTCCAATTAGCCTATGACCCAGCCACTGGATCTCTTCTATGGCACCAGTCTTGATGCCACTGAAGCCCTTGATCTAGAGAACTGGATTACTTATTCTCAAAAAGAAACTTTCCATTTATTTCCCTCTAATTTAAAAAAAAAAAAAACATTATCATATTCGTTGGTTTCCTTTAGCAGAGACCATGAGCCAAGCAACCACACAAAGGCAACAAAATAAAATAAGATTAATTTCCCCAAGGGATAGATAAGGGTACTTTCATCTGTGAGCCCAGAACTGCGTCTCTGTGAAGTTTGATGATCTCAGGATCCGAGCCACAGTGCCATTGTCTAGACATTGCAGTGATGTCTGCACAACATTTTTAAAGTAGTTTGAAGGAAAAACACTCATATTTATAGCAGGGAGGAAAAATCAAGTGTCTTCAATGCTCCTGTGAAAAGAACATTAGGAGAAATCAGAGCAACTCCTTGCCAGAAAATGTTAAAATCATTTTAGGAAATCAATTTAGCGTTTTTAGACACAGACATCTTGTGTATGCTGTAACCCAGTCTTGCTCGGGGTCCTCGCCTAGCAGTGGTGCGAGTCTTTTTTTGGTCTCAGCTGCCTGATTTGAGGCGTTTGGACAGCGCCTGGGAAGTACATTATTTCCAAGGGAAAAAAGACAGTCTTTTTCGCATGCCAGCCGGGATCATGGGAACTTCGAATGCCAGGAATTTACTCCTGTTTCTGGTAATTTTGCTCGTAGTCATTTGAAATGTTGAAGGCTGAAAAGAGAAGGCTCTAAGCATCGGAGCGGGGCAGGAGGGAGGAGGGGGCCCTGCACGTTTTCTGCCAGTTGCTCTATTGCACAGAATATTCGTAATGCATTTGGAAGCGCGTATAATTGTACTCTTTGTCAGAATTACAAAGCTCGCTGTGGCACTGCTAAGAGAACACTGAGGAAAATCTGACCCTACGAAGCCCAGTCAACCCCAAACAAAAAGGAAGCCTGTGTGGAGGGGCACGGCACATCGCCAGTCCGTTTCTCACTATTTCTGAAAGCTCGGACCACCCAACCAAGGATGTGTCTGTTTTCAGGTGAAGGTTAATTTTCTAAAAGTTTTTCCAAAACTTCAATAATACAAAGCTTGGAAAACCGAGCACTCTGAATTTCTTCCAGTCCTCTGGGCATCATTCCTATTCCCTCTGCTGTGTCAGTGAGCTAGGCCAAGGCTGCCTTCTGTCATCTCCAGTAACACACATACTCCTCCGCGACCTTACTGCGAATGGACCTGAACCTGCAAGTGTAAAAACGATTGCATCTGAATGTGCACTGATGGTGTGGGAGAACAAAAGCCCTTGATTGGAATCTTTTCAAATTTTAAACTATTATTTTCACTGAAAGTTTGATAATCTAAGTTCAAAGGTGTTTCCTTGCAGCCATTAATTGGCCACTGAGTTAACCTTTTAAAGGGGATCCCTATGCTTGCAATAATTCATTGATGCTTTCTTCACACAGCTTCTTAAACTAAGATTTTCTGCAATGACTCGGGTTCTGCATTCTGTGTGTAGGAAATCTTTTTTTTTCTTAATAATTATTTGATGAGAAATCCAATGTAATGACTGTCACCAAGACACAATACTTGTCTGAAAGTCTGGAAACTAGTGGTGACCAAACGTTACCTGTTTTCCTGCTGTCAATTGCTATTTTAAAAATTAAATCATGGTTTTTCGCTTTCAGTTGGAATCAACAAATGTGGGATATTTGAAGGGGGAGAAGGGCGCTATTTGTGTAACAGTACTGTCATATTTGGCTACATATTAAACATAATAAATGAGCATTTTGTTTTAATTTGCTCAGTACTTTTACCTTTGTCTTTCAACACATTTTTGTTTCCTTTCCCTCATTAGTCTCCAAACACATTTTCATCCATGGTGGAAGAAACCCAGTGGTACAGAGTCAGGAGCCACCAGGTTATTGGCATGCTGGAAAATGTTTTTGTTTCTAAACCTGCTCTGGCATGGGGACCAGAACCAACTAGAGTGAACCATAGAGAACAAAGGATGAAGAATGTCCTAGCATGCAACTAGGTGAAGACCTTTTTCCTGCCCCTGCTGCAGTGGCCGGGTGTTGAATTCTCATCAGACAGATGGGGTCTTAGCTGCCACTTTAAGTCTTAGAGCTTAAAAAAGTAAAGGTGCTTCCTTTCTGCTCTTGCTTCTGCTGTCAGTCCCACTTCATGAACTCCTCATTATCCCATTCCCTTTTTCTCAACCTGGAGATGATTGTACCTCTTTCTCAGGGGTGTGGATGTGTGCCTCCACTAATATCTGTGGATTGGGTGAAGCAGGATGTTTTGATTCCAGATATCCCTTCTCTGATTTCTCCTTCACCATTCTGGGACTGTTCTCTTTAACAACACCAAGTACACACAGACCTGAACCCAGGACCGAGAAGCACACACAGTACCGGAAGCTGCCCACATCTCCAGGCAGTGGCATTTCCTGAGCAATTGCTCTGTGCAATTCGATTATTTTTTTTTTCAGTCTTAACCTCTGTGTGGATCTTTTGGACTGTACTTCTTAAATTCTGATATCATGGAGTAAATTTAGAACTTCGATTTTAGATGGTGTGAATTGTCTTTATGATGCCAAAAAGGAAACCATGTTATAATGTAAACCGTGAAAATTTCCCCAATAACAGAAAAACATTAAGCCAATGCTTTAAAAAATCATTTGGTATATTCTATTTCTTTATATAACGCAAATTAAATGAATCTGAATGATGATAAAAAACAAAGATATTAGTAACAATTTTATAGCTTTTTATTATAAATCTATATAATTATAAATCTGAAAACAGGTCTTCTCACTTGCCCCTATCCCAAACCAGTTTTCAGAATCTAAATCTTCAGACACACACTCATACCATTCACTTGCTTTATTGTATCAGATATTTATTAAGTAACTACTCTGTACTAGGCAGTGTGCTTGATTGCTACAAAAAAGAAAACAGAGAATGAGTCAGTCTTTGCTTTCAGTTAATCTACAGAGAGTGGAAAAGACTAACATCTTAAAATATACATGGTAAATCAAGCAGTCCCTGAGAAGGAAATACTTAGTTCAGTGACATCTCACGAGAGAAGAGTTAATACCATACGGAAAGGCAGAGATCTCATAAAGTGGATGGCATTTGGCCTTGCCCTGACAGACGAGCAGGTCTTCCCCAGGCACAGGGCCCCCAGGAAAAGGGCTACGAGAAAAGGACTGCGGGGGAAAGCGAGGAACCAGGCTTGAGAGCTGCCAAAGCCGGAGAGTTAGGCTCTGGAGGATGTCTATGACTTACAGTGTACTTTCAGAGCAATAAGCTCACATAAAAGCTTTGAAACAGAAGGAGGATACAATCCAAGCTCTAGAAAGGCCTCCCAATAGGCAGGGAAATGGATGAATTACATGGGGAATCTTGGAAGCCTTTCTGGAGGGGACTGCTCAAGTCTGTCCTCTGCTTCATAACAGTGCTGGAGACTGAACCCAGGGCCTTTGCACGGGGATACATCCCCAGCCCTCATTTATTATCTTTTATCTTGAGATAAGGTATTGCTAGGTTTCCCAAGATGGGTTCAAACTTGTGATCTTACACAAGTACTCCCCTTTTCTGTTTGCTGAAATCCCATGATGTCTCAGACAACTAACATCACATAAAGTGGAAAATAACTGCCCTCATTAATGATGATGAAACTAGAAAACGACTCTTCTGGTCAGTTTCCTTCCGGTCATTGTAGACACAACCAGCAGGGTGGAGAGACTTGAATTTAAACTATCTGACTTAACAGAGCATTTTCCCCATCCTTCTTTAGGGTTAGTACTTAATCTATCAAGTGGTCCTTACTAATGAATTAGTAAGTGCTCAGTCTAAAGTGTCAATGGTTATAACAAAACTCAGCAAATCTGAATTAAATCAATGAATTAGAAAGATTAAAGGATTCCATCTTGAGATGGGGACAGAGGCATTGTAGAGCCACTACTGTGGGGACAGTCAAATGACAGCAAAGGGCAGAACTAGACTTCAGATCCCATGGGGAATTGAATGTCAAGCATGACAGAGACTAAAGACAAAGTCTCCGGGATTCTAGAGGATTCCAAAGAGTGAATTCAAAGTGCTGCTAGATAATTTGAGAGTATGCCGAAGTACCTCAGAGCTGCAGAGCTCCCCGGGGAAGAAGATAAACACCTGATTTAGTCATCAGGGAAACTGTGAAGATGTTGGTTATGAAGGAGGCCAGCTGGCTCCCATAACCCTGGTTCTATGTTCAGAGATCACAGCCCTGTAACTCGAGTACTCGTGTGCTTTGGGGCCAGGAAGCATGGCGTGTGCTTCAGAAGGGCGAGGAGCTGGTTGTAAGAGCAGAGACTAACATGTTACAGCCCTTTAGACGCCTATTCACACAGGGCGGGTTTCAGAAGTACACCCCACTGGCCCAGAGAAGAGCATGAACACAGAAAGAAATAACAAGAGAGTAGACAGAGGGAAAAGATAAATATGCAGACCAGGAATCACTGCCCCCATCCAATCAATGAGTACTTGAAGAAATGTCATCTACATACCCACTTGGCCAACTTTAAATGTTGGGCAATTATAGATTTTGGAAATTTCAAGATTGTGTCAAAGAGAGAAAACCAAGGAGATTTTCATAGAATTTTCAGCTTCAGGATATACGAAAACCTGTCTCCAGCTAGTAGCGATAGACTTATTATTTTCTGTACGTTGTTATCCCTCTGAAGACAGCTGATTCACTTGGCCTCCCAGAGTTAATACACTCGAGAAATGCCAACAGCTCTTGATAAATGTTAATTGACCGCTTTTAAATGTGTTTTACTCTTCTACCTGCAACACACTTTACTTACAGACTTTAAACTTCTACCAGATAGTGTCATGATTTTTTTTGTGTGTGCGGAACTTTACAAACATTTCAAGGTTGCACAATCATATTGGGATTTTTTTCTTGCAATTTTCTTTGTACAATGCAATTTAGATAATTTTTCAAAAAGATTCACTGTGGCATGAACCTTGATAGAATGTCAAGCAAAATTCCTGCTGCTGGAAGCTTGGCTGTGAGCCTAGAAGATGGGCTGCATAAATTATTCTAAATGCTTCACAGCATCTTATTTCTTTCTACAGTGTTTTAAGTCTGGTCCAGGATGCTTGAAGTGAGATGCTGAACAAGTAAGAATACATTACAAGAAAGAGAAACTGCGACTTACAAAAAATAAAAGATGAAAAAAGAAGATGAAGTACAGCTGTTGTAGAACTGTGCCATTTGGAGTTTACTTAGGTGTCATCTTGAAAGATGTATGTTATTTCAAAAAGACCAGGTCCCAGCAGGTTAAACAGCAATGGGGCAAACAGAAGAAGAGTACTTATTTTAGAGGGAAAAGTTAAAAAGGGACTTTGATATCCCAGGAGACCCTTCAGTTGCGAATGAGGCCGTGAACTCTGGTGAGGAGTGGGGCACACGGGTGCGGGGGGAGGAGGAGCTCTGCGAATTTCTCGTGGCTTTACTTACAGCCCGACGTGAAGCTTCACTGAGGCACTGGGATGGGAGTTTGGAGCTTCACACAGATTGCTCCAGTCAGTTTGACTTGCTTGACATAGAACCATAACGAGTAACTGACTGAGCATCCGTCGCTCTGAGTGATGAAAACATTCAGTGTCTACTAAAACCAGAAGGAACGTGTGACTGTAGTTGCTTTTTACCCTTCTCATAAACATCCAGCTAGGAGCCCCAGACTGTAAAGAGCTGACTGAGGACACCTGCTCTCCAGTTACCCGTGTCAGTTTCCCGAGACCAATTTTCTCTCCCCTGTCTAGTAATCAGTGCTACCACCCATGTGACAGCTAAAGGGATGAGTTCTGTGACAAGCTCTGACTGGCCTCTCAAAGCCCAGGTTCATTCCGCATGAAATGAGGGTGAAAGTAGTACTTACTTCCAAGGATTATGACGATCAAAAATAATTAGGTTCATGTTTGACCTTAATACTTAATAACAGCTATGGGTGTCGTTATTTCTATCTAGGGAGCTCATTGATGTTAATAACAAAAATGCTATCCTAGTGCTTAAGAAGATTAATTTAAGGCAAAAACAAAGGGGAATAATTAACTGAATGGCTAGGTGGTAAAACAAATAGTTAAACTAGAAAATGCACAGGTAAGAAGCCGTTTCCCTCATAGACTAATTCCTTCTACCTGAGAATCATCTTTCTCTATCATCTCAGTCAACAAGAGCCTTTCCTCATTCTAAGATATAGAAAAGCAAGAAAGAGGGAGCTTAAAATCTTCAGTGGTAAACAATTAAATACTTAAATGCAGGTCAGTACTAGGAACTAATAGTGGGCCATGGATTTAAGAGAGTACTATCATTTCTTGTCTATTCATTTGTAGATTATGATTCAACAGGAAATCAAATAATGCTCCTGAGTTGTGTAGTTGTGGTTGCTGTTGTTGAGAGTGGGTCTTGCTACACAGTTCAGGCTGACCTTGAACTCACCATTTAGTCCAAGTTATCATCAAACTCTCCTGCTTCAGCTTCTCCAGTGCTGGAATTAAAGGTATGCACAACCACGCCTGAGTTTCATTTTTAAAAATTTCTCACATGTCTACACTTAATTTCTTTGTTTGCAAAGAGTGAGACAAAATATTGCTACTATATCTTAAAGCAGTCTAAAATAAAATCTGTGCAATCTAAAAAGAGGTTTAAGCTTATGAAAAGGTTTATATTTATAAGTCAGAGTCTAACTTCTAACATTCTACCATTCATGGAACATTTCTAATATCAAATATGTGCACTGAAGGGA